CCATGTTGGTGTTGTATGTACTTGCACGGCACCCATCACAGGGATATAAGTATTCTGAGTCACTACTGAAGGAAGTGGCAGAGTATCATGATGTCATTACACTCTCAATGAATGAGGGGCGTGTTACTACTAACAAGTCTATTAGTGGTAATGGTAAGTGGGGTTTAGAAGCTGAGGTTGGTATGAGCAGGAAAACATATTTTTGGCTTGAAATGGCATTACGTTTGTTTCCTTCGGCGAAATACATTGCCAAGGGTGATGATGACATGTTTCTACGTGTGCCACAGTTTCTTGCAGAACTTACTTCTTTACCTACACGTGGTTTGTATTGGGGAATACTTGGTCGGTCGTATAGATCATCTATTAGTTTTACTTTTGCATTTGGGGCTTGTTACACACTGGCTTTGGATGTGGCAAAGACTGTCGTCTCTTTTGGACCATTGCGACGTGTTGTGTATGTACCCTTTACTGCTTCGGTTGCTGATAAGTATTATTTGTATCATATGGATGGGGAGGATGCTATGGTAGGATGTGCTTTAAAACTAGTTGGGTATACCAGGCATCTTATTTTTGCAAGTGAGCCATCGTGCTCATTTCATGATATAAGAAGTGAAAATGAGACGAATACTGTTTCCTCAAACTCTATAATGGTGCATCACTTGCTTGAAGAGGATTATGTTCCGTTAATGAGGGGGTTTATGAATACAAGTACTTTTAGACGCAGAATTAAGAAATCCCGCCGTAAGAAGACGATGTATTTTTCATGCTTAGAGGAATAACATTTTTCATTGTTTTTGACTGTGTATGGTGTAAACCGTTTTTGTTTAATAATTATTTACATCTTCAGTATCTTCAGTTGTTTCTGTTTTTTTTTTTTGCTTTTTTTGCGAACCATCCTTATTCCGTGTTCGCAATATTGTACTATTACCTCGGAATAACATCAAATCGTAATTTATTCCTATGTGGGACGGTACGTGTCGTCTTCATTCTCTCTTCCTGTGAAGTGTAACAGTATGAGTCTTCTGCATGTGTGTGGGTTACGATGGCTGTCCCTTTTGGAGTTGTGGCGGCAGCATGTACTTTGTGATGGTCTTGTTATCTTGCGTTGGGACAGTTCAATGTACCGAGTGCCTGTGGACTTCTCTTGTTACTAGTGGGTTGTGGCTGTTTGTGGGATGTTCGCTCTGCACAGTGTTGCTGTGGATGTCCTTGCGGACCCTGTGCATCCCACTGTGGTGGT